TAACTTTTAACCATGAACAAATTGGTGTAAATCTATTACTCTATTAGCCACCATTTATGATATTAAAATTATATTCCATATCTTAATTTGAAACTGGCATTTTTTTACCTTACCTTATGTAATCATTTAAATGGAACCAGTTAAGCCAAAACCTTAGCCCATGAATTGTTAATATTTTGCTCTTTCGCATATAAAGCCTGCATACAAATTTGTCGTTATTTCAAGCCTAATTTTGCACCAAAGATCATTTTCATGCCTTTCTCCTTATGTTCTGCGGCACTTATCGTCTTGGCATGCCTCTGAATGCAGATTCAGAAGGGCTTTTATTTATATTTTTAATTGTTCTCCCTATCGTATTTCTTCTTGTACCTCCTTCCAACTCCTCTTTCATAGTCGGCAAAAATACACTTTGAAGAGCCCAATTCAGATAGAGGTCTTGTTGACTCTGATGGTGACGTGGCCATGACTGCTACCTCAGAGTTGGGGCAATCAGGACCCTCTGTCGAGTTAGGCGTAATGACGGTCGATGATGAGTTCATTGACGTCGTTGGCGACGGTGATTCCCTTACGACTATATATCCCTCTACCATCCCAGCGACTCCGGCGGCTGGAATGTCTATGAGACCTGGCGGGTCAAGTGAGTTGGATTCCTTTTTCACATCTCTATACATAAATACATACGTGTATATTTGCATACAGACAAGTAAAGGAAAACTGGCTGTGAAATCAACCATAGTTAGGATGTAGTAGTGGAGCTCATTGTCCACAAAAGCAATTGAGTTTGATTTGACACAAATTGAGAAAAACGGCAGAAATTTGGTAAACATTGAAAGCTGAGGAAATTTTAGTCACGATTTTAAGGTAACTCGCCATTTTTTAGGCTGCCAGATTATCTCAGATCTACAGAAGTGGCCCCTTTCATCTTAAATTGCATAAGCACTTTAAAATCAGACTTTCTATTGCTGTATTTAGATTACTAACCCTATATTTTTTGCTTTATACTTGTCGATGTGATGCTTATTGACTATTTCGAAATCGAAAGTATTTCCAACATCTCATTTTAATCCTTCGCCTTTCTAAGCCATAACCAACTGTTTAATTATTTGGACACTTTAAATTTAGCTTGGAATACTTCGGCTGCATGCGAGCCTAACGATACATCGACAAGCAACTCTACTTTATCCAATCACACTCCGCTTAACTGCTTCTGGCCGGCGTATCCAAGTGGTCTTGCTCCTGCAACTAAGCATGCATCCGGTCCTGGATCAGCCGGTAGCGCGCCCTGCACACCATTAGCTCAGTTGTCGCTCTCTTCACCTGGCGCCACTGCTGCCGCGGCCTCATTTAGCATTTTAGATGCAAGTCGTGGTCGGAGTTCTGCCGGATCTTCACGGGGTCCTAGCTCCATTCCTACCTCAGCTGCTGAAGGTTCAAGCACCAGCCTCGAGCTGGTAAGTGATCCAACTCCTGCTTTCAGAACCTGGTTATCCGGTGCTGACGTCTGGCTTGACATCGAAGCGGCTCGTGTCCTTAGGCTAGCTGTAACCGACCGTCTTCGGCACGGACGCCATTTTACCTTTGTTGATGCCCAGAGACCAAATTGCGCCGTTAGCCTGGTTCCTGCGGGACTTCCTGGCTCTGAGGTCTCGGCCAGCAGGCCGATGTGTGCACAAGGCAACTGGCTTCAGGTACTTTGGAACCATTTATTAAATTAATTATTACCTCTTCGTAGTGTTGGAATTATTTTTAGACTACGCTTAATTGACGCGTCATTGCTAGTTTTTTAAATAATACTATATATTTTGTATATAAGCAGAGTTTCGAGACTACCAGTAAATCAATTATTTCGTCACCTTAAACGCAATAGAGTGAATACATCTCATATAACTGATTTACTGGTAGTCTCGAAACTCCACTTATATACGAAAAATAAGTAATGGAGTCGATTGTTATAGCACAAATATGTTCGCTTCATCGACAATCCCACCAAAGAATGTGATATGGATAACAACTGGCCTTCTATGAAATTTACAACTGCCCTATCACCCAAGGGCGCTCGTGGCAACGTGGCTGAGTGGTTAAGGTGTTAAGCTCAAATGCTATACTGTCATGGTCCGATTCCCGCTGGGGGTGTGGATAAGAACTAGGCGAGGTCGAAACTGCAATCCATCCTGAATGAGAACAACTTTTGGGAAAGCAAAGCTATGTGAAATTCAATGTAAACGTCAGCACTACTCATCATTGTGAGAAAATTCTACTGCTAGTTCTTCATTACCTTACACGAAATAGGGTGAATACATATACTATATTGCCTTTGGCCGTATCTTATTCAACGTCAATCCATTCGTGATATTACAACCTCCTTCATAGTTGAAATCGCATCGCTATGATCTTTGCAGCACATTTCACCATTATATATGCCCATGTATCAACGACTTAAGCATTTTTAGCATTACTTAGTGTATAGTGTGCTTCTATCAAAAACTGACTATAATTTCGAATATATGATGACCAAGATAGTGTGGCCTTTTGTGTGTGTGTGTGTGTGTGTGTGTATGTGTATGTTTGACCTTGTTTTCGCAGCTTGGTCATGTTAGCGGGAAGACCTAGAGAAACGCACCTAGTCTGGAGTCCATTGTATGCATGATAATTTCCAAAGTCGGACAGTGGATTTGGTACATACCCAGACGTTTCGCCGGCATCGTCAGTGAGCCTTGTCATTCTTACCACCACACTTCAACTCGTCAAAGAGACAAGTGAAGTCGATACTCTGATCGATTGTGTTATCACTCTTGTCCTGGGCTATTTACCTTTCTTATATCCTCGTATCACTATCACAATTTTTTCATTGCGTATTTAAATGTAGTGTGGTGTGCCCTTTTGATCGGCTTTCATGAGAACCCTCCAAATTCCACGCTGGCGTTCTCACCCCCCTTCACCCTTCTGCTGGGGATGTCGATCAGAGTTTGCCACATTGTCACTCAGTCCTCCTTCCCTAGGTCTTATCAGAATCTCCCCCTTGTCCCGTAGGATCCGTCTGCTATCTCCCTGGTTCAAGTATTTCACTTGACCTCTGCTATCCCATCTGTGCTACTCTAGGCGTTATTATCCATCCCATGAGTTTGGGTAACTAATTCGAGGCTGAAGCCTCTGAGTAATTCCCATGATTAAGCTCTTGCTTCATGGTCCACGTCAGCCAACTAGCTCCAGTTTCCGCCGCGTCTATCTTATTTCTATCCGTAATACCAAGTCTATGACTTGCCATGCCATAGTTTCATGTGTGCCAACCCACAATGTTGTGGTTTTGCTTGCTTAGATTAGGTTCGATGTTGCATCGCAACGTTTGTGGGTTGGTACACGAGAGACTACGACATACCAAGTTATAATCACTCAGACGCATGGGATGGGTAATAACGCCTCTAGTAGCACAGATGAGATGACAGGCGTCGAGTGAAATACTTGAACCAGGGAGATAGCAGACGGATCCTACGGGGCAAAATAGCGATTCTGATAAAGCCTATGGAAGGAGGACTGCGTAACAATATGGCAGACTCTGATCCATCTTACCAGAACAAGGGCAAAGAAGAGTAAGAATTCCAGTGTGGAGTGTGGAGGGTTCTCATGGAAGCCGCTCAAAAGGGTACACCACACTAAATTAAAATAAGTAAGGAAAAAATTGATATAGTCAAAGTATGATACAAGGGTATAGGAGAGGCGAGTAACCCAGGACATAAGTAAAGATACCACGATTGTTTACCACAAAGTTGGTCAAAGAATCGGCTTCACTTGTCTCTGACAAGTTGTAGTATGGTGCTAAGAAACGTCTGGGAAAGTACCACAACCACGGTCCGAATTTGGAAATTATCATGCATACTATGGACTCTGGACTAGGTGCGCTCCTCTAAGTCTACCTAGCAATATGATCAAGTTGCGAAAACAAAGTTAAACAACTTCTCACTTTACTTTGTTGGTTTAAACTTTCAAATAGTTCATTCCATTAATTCCAAAAATTTTTTAAAACAATATAGCCCTCTTTAGGAGCTTATCAACTATGACTTTAATAATCAAATGTATGCTGCTGACATATTCAAGTTTTGGATACATTTCACATGGAACAACTGATTGGTGCTACCTTCCTGTGCCTTAACTAGCTTGGATAAGTTAAAGAGCATCAGCCTCTATGAGTGGTTTTGCAGCAATTAAGAGCCTATGATCATTATGTATATAAAATACTATAATAGAGCAGCATCATAGTTAATACTTATAATATATACTTAGTTTAATTATTTGAACCATCAATTGACTTAAATCTGGTTTTGTGAACACCTGCAGATTCATGGCCCAAAGTTTTGCTGTATGTTTTATGTGACTCATTTATTTAAATCGTTTGCTTTGCACATTATCTGCACAAATCAAACAATTTAATCTGTTTTGTAATTGCCCTTTTAGATAGGATAGTCTACCGTAGTCATTCATATATTGATAATATTCTAGATTTATTGCATCGTTTACACAAGCTGTAGATTCTCTGCTTATAGCCTCAATTACGACTTGTGTTTAATTTGTTGTCCTCGGCTAGCGTTTGCAGTTACGCCTCAACTATATAAACATATCGACAAAAAGTAGCGGTAGTTCATAAGGCATAATATCGACTCAATGTCAAATAGAGGAGTAGATATATCAAGCCAAGGATGACCTTTACTACTATTTTATCTACATTTTTCTTCTTCCCTGTGCCTAGATTTACATACCAGACGATTTTCTTTCCCAAATCGAGGCCGATTTCGCCAAGTGCTTGCCAGAACCTAGTCACATGGACAATCTTGTTCTTCCCGTCGTTTTTCGTTGGCATAAGCATTGCCTCAGACTCTGTCTGGTCGACTCTCTTCCTTTTGATCTGGAGGTGGCTGAAAAAATTCCTACGATACCTATTCCCTCTTCTACTTCCAATCTTTCTCATCCTCCTCTTCTCTCATCTTCATCTCCCTCTACCAGTGTTTCCTGTCAGCCATTTTCTTTCTGCGCTACCAAACCTGTCCAATCCAATGTTTCTCGGTTATTGCCACCAAATCAAGCAGGCGCAGGGATAAGGGCGATTCGGTGTCCTGAGACCAATGCAAATAGCGATGGAATTCCCGTAGCTAACAGCGCCAGTGAAAGTATTAGAGGCAGCAACAGTCTCATTTCAGGCTCTACTCCACAAATTCCAAGATTTCTCCCGGGCCACATTCCTCCTCCTGCCGTCCTAGCCAGCTGGATGGGTCAAATGCAGACCGCTCCCTTGCCTAACCAGTCAGCCATCGTCTGCTCTTCCACAACCCCCCTTTCTCAACCTGGCCCTGATCACCATCATGCCCATCCTCACTATCCATATCAGCTCATTCAGCCACATGCCCAGCAGCAGCAGCAACAACAAACTGGATCTCAGCCAGGCTTGACTTTGCTCGGCTCTGGTCCGGAATCTAGCCTTTTATCCAACCGCTTGCTTTCTCGCCTGCCCAATCTTGATTCAAATATTTCGGAAGCCTATTCTCGGCCCTCTACTTTAGATGCATCCCTGACCACCTCGAAAGTACCCAGCGCACATGGAAATGATTTCGTACAATCTCGGCCTCAGGGCACACCACCCAAAAATGTATCCACCAATGTCGGCTATCCGCCTGCAGACCCTGCAGCTGCTTATTCTGGTTTGCTTGCCGGATTTTGGCAGATGTTTATGATGATGGCTAACACGAACTCATCAATGACAGATAACCAACCAATGGGGCTCTCAGGCACCTCTGGGCCACCGACAAATGACATGAACGCTGCAGCAGCCTGTGCAGAAGCGTTTATACATGGGCTTTACCCAACCAATAAAACCAATATCTGACACCTTTGTTGATGGGTAGGCTAATCCTAATCTTCCGGCTTTTAGACTTCACACTAAGGCGCATTTTAGGTTGAAATGCAAAATTTTATACCTTCAAACGATAGTCGGTGACCGTCTTGCCCTCTTTGGAAGACATTTTTGTTTTCATTCCTTATTCTCTTAATTTGTATTACTCATTGCATTGATCATAACTACTGGTGTAATTTTCCATTTTATACTTATTTTTCTTTAATTCTCATCTTTTCATCTGTATATTTTGTCAACTGGTCTATCTTATCCTGTCTCCAAAAGATTTTATCTTTTTTGTGTGTAATTATATATATATATATGCATTAAATTTTCCAAGACTTTTTTCCCAGCTGCTGCGATGAAATCTTTGCTAAGCCTTCTTATCTCCCTTATATCTAGTTGAGATGGCATTATTTCTTATTTTAAGTAAGGCTCAATTGTATAGTTGTGATAGATTACTATCTGAACTGATTCCACTTATAACTATTTTAAATAAAATTCCTCCCATTTTTAGACATTTAATCATTTACTAACATTGCATGTCTTGCATTCGTATTAACGTTTCCTCTGGCAATCTTGCCATCGAGTCTATTCATGGCATCGATCTGTATCAATGCCATGACATCTGGCTATTTTTACCTATAGTTTTGTTTATTCAGCCTTTGACTTGTCTTTTTTTCACATTATTTTAAATACGTTATATAAACCAATATAAATATTCTTTATACTACTAGTTGTCCAATGCTAAACTTTAATGGAGAAAACTTTTTTATGTATTGTTTTTTCAGCTTCTTTTCACGCCTTTCCAGAATGAGACATTTTACTGATCTTCACTTCAATAAGATATGTCTTTCAACATTGTAAAGAGCCTTTAACTTTTTGTTTTATTTATTGTGTTGTTTGCGACATATTAATATATCATTTTGTACAATTACTCATTTTTTACGATTACCAAATTCCGAATTAATGATTCAATTCGTGGTTTTTCATAGCATTCGTTCGAACCGGCCATCCAAATATCTAGCATCTTTTGCCTTTGTTAAGAATTAATGTTGATGGTCAAAAATCCGATCTCATACAGAATCCAGATTAGAGATGAGAATATTGTCTCGTCTTAATGGTTCCACTTCTCCACTTGACCACTACTTTGATACTTCACCTGTTTACCAACGAGTAATCCTAAGCATAATTTAAATATGACTAGATATGAATTACACTATTTTGTGGCTTTAGACTTGCTCACAGCTCCATTATATGTGCATGGCGTTAATTTGATATCATTTTCGCCTCTTGGCAGGACGATAGAGAAACCTCGTAGAAATTACCCAGTATCATAATATTCATCATAATTTCGAGAATTTAATATATTCCCAGACTTTATGCTGACAGTGCCAATAAGAAGCATCTTCCAGCTACAAATCATAGAGCTGGAACTTGAGGAAGGAGAGATACCACAATAGTTTTGACAGAAAAATATCACTTAAATTATAACTCGGTGCTCAGACTGAAGCTTTTTATTGACGATGTCAGCGAAAGATTGAGCAATGTACCTAAGTGATAGGAAGAAGGATGCTTTATTTCATTTCCTAGATCCCATCCCGGGATCTAGGATGCTTCCTCACGGTCTTGACAAACTGTATATAAATGACAGATAGTGTCAAAAATGATTTCGTTCAGCCTACTTTAATTTGAGTCATCGTATGTAAAGAAGAGAGTAAATTCAACCATAGACGAATGGCGGATTTATCTCGGCAGAATGTTGTTTGGTGTTACTTCAACTTTCTGTTTTAGTTAATCTCCTTCACTTTTGTTGAAAATAGCAGTGATCCTTGGGAAAGCTCTCAATTTGCCTGATTTGGTCTCGGTTTTTGACAAAATTAGGGAAATAGACGCAAAAAGGCTTATATAGCTACCTTTATATGAACAGATCTCGAACTTATGAACGCTGCTAGTGAATATTCTTACATTCCTCAAGGAAAGGATGACACTTCACAGTCTTGCCCACACAACATTAAAATGTCAAAAAAACGGGATGCTCAGAGGTTCTTTACACCAAATCTGAATAAGGGAATCTAAGGGGAACGGGAACTATCAATACAAGAATTAAACAACACCAGCAATGCTATGATCGAAAGTAGTAGAACACTGCACCGAACTATAAACATACAGGAAGGCGAAAACCCAGCCAAACCGCTGACATATTTGTTCAAATTAATTTAATGAACGAGATGGGAATGACATTAAGAGAAC